GGTATCACCTAGAGCAGGTCACCTAACCTAGGTGATACCAGGTCTGGGGTTGCTTGGCTCTTGTCCGCGACACCTCTGCGGACAAGCTCTCGCCTCGCGCCGTTCCTTGTGTCTTCCTTGGTTTTCCTGAGGCCTCCTCTGACTTCACCTTTTACCACCCTCCCTCTCACCGGTTCTTTGACTCCCGTGACGTCCGTTTCGAGGAGTCCACCCCGTACTACGTCAGGTACCCCAGTCGAGGTCTCCCGGTTCCTCCTCCCCCCCTCTTCCTGACTGCCGCTCCCCCTCCTGCTCCCCCGGTACAGCCTCCCCCCCCTGGTCCAGCCCCGTCAGGTGTGTCCCAGGCTACCCCTCCTCCTTCGGTAGCCCCTCCGGTACAGCCTCCCTCCCCACAGTCCTCCTCGCAGCGTGCCGCAGGTGCTAGCTCTCGAGAGGTTGGTGCCGAGCCTGTTCCTGTACCGGTTTCTGGTTCTGGGGGTGCTGGAGTTGGAGCTGAGCCGGTGGGTGCAGAGGACTCTTGTCTTCCGGGAGCTGGTGCTGGTCGCGCGGACACTGGGGGTGCTCCGTCTGGGGGTGAGGGTGCGCCTCTTTCGGGTTCTGGTGAGCCTGGGTCTGGAGCTGGTGTTAGTGCTGCCTCTGGGGGTGGTGCGCCTGGTCCTTCGGGGGTGGACTCTGGAGCTGCCGCTGCTCCGGACACTACTCCGCCCCCCCACCCCTACCCGACTAGGCACCAGGCTCGTGTTCGCCGTGCCCGTGAGGAGCAGCTGGCGTTGGAGAGAGAGGAGAGGGAGTTACAGCGGCTGGAGGAGCAGCAGCAGCAGCTGGAGCCGCAGGAGCAGCAGCAGCAGCTGGACCCGCAGGAGCAGCAGTCCCAGCAGCAGCCGCAGCCGCAGCAGCAGCAGCCACTTCCTCCTCCTGTCTCGGGTCTTCGGACCCTTGGTCTCCCCTCTCCTTCTCCTCCCTCCTCCGCCTCTCCTCCTGTCTACGGTCCCACGTTTCCTCCTCCTGACTCCTCCCCCGCTGTTTTCCCCAGTTCTCTGCCTTTGTCCTCTCCTCCTCCGTCTCGTACTTGGGCTACTCGTCGCTCTCCTCGTGCTCGTCCCTCGTCCCCTGTTCCTTTCACAGACCTTCGTACTGTCTTGTTACGTTCTAGTCCGTCTCGTTCGGCTCCTCCTGTGCTTCCTTCTCCTCCTGAGTCGGCCCTCACAGCTTCTCTCTCTACCCCTATCACTGACTACTACCGCACGTACCGTCCTGTTCTCTCTCGTGTTCTTGCCTCTCTTGTTACCCACCCTCGTGCCTCTTTGTCCTCCGTCTCCGCTCTTACTGCCACGGTCACTGAGTTTGCCTCTACTCGCCGCCTTGACTACGCCACCACTCTTGTGGCTGCTCCTCCTACCAGTCCTCTGGCCGTCGGGGGTGTGTCTGCCCTTGGCTGTGACGTCCTAGAGGACAGGCAGTTTGAGCTAGAGTTCCTGGCGGCCGCTTCCCCTCATCTCTGTGCCATGCTCCTCACCCCTGAGGGTGACCCCGACGCCCTTGACATTCCGACTCCTCGCACTTACGCTGAGGCAGTGTCAGGGCCTTGGGCCTCTCAGTGGAGAGCTGCCATGGACGCAGAGATGGCCTCCTACAGATCCACAGGCACCTACGTCGATGAGGTTCCTCCCCCTGGGACGAACGTAGTCGATGGCATGTGGATCTACAGGGTGAAGCGGCCACCAGGATCTCCTCCAGTCTTCAAGGCGCGCTACGTTGCTAGAGGTTTCAGTCAGCGCGAGGGAGTTGACTTCTTTCAGACCTTCGCGCCGACCCCGAAGATGACCACTCTTCGGGTGTTACTGCACGTAGCAGCACAGAGAGACTACGAGTTACACTCTCTCGACTTCTCCACTGCTTTTCTTCAGGGCAGCCTACACGAGGAGGTCTGGCTGCGTCGTCCCTCTGCCTTCACTGGCACTTTCCCTCCTGGGACCCAGTGGAGGCTGAGGCGACCTGTCTACGGTCTTCGCCAGGCCCCTCGTGAGTGGCACGACACTCTCCGCTCTACCCTCTCTGACCTTGGGTTCCAGCCGTCTTCTGCCGACCCGTCGCTGTTTGTTCGCCGTGGCTCCACACCGTTCTTCATTCTGGTCTACGTCGACGACCTAGTTTTCGCCACTGCTGACAGGGTTGCTTTGGCAGACGTGAAGTCCGAACTGCAGAAGAGACACACGTGCACTGACCTTGGTGAGCTGCGCCATTACCTTGGGCTGCAGATCACCAGGGACAGAGCTGCTCGCACCATTACACTCTCACAGTCACACATGGTGCAGCAGGTCCTTCAGCGGTTCGAGCTTCAGCACTCCACAGTACAGCGCACACCTCTTGCTGTTGACCACAGACTCACTGGACCCTTTCCTGACGAGCCGTTTGAGCCTAGTGGTCCCTACGCAGAGCTTGTGGGTTGCCTCATGTACCTGATGACTTGTACTCGCCCGGACCTCGCTTTCCCTCTCAGCATCCTTGCGCGCTTTGTTGCGCCAGGGAGACACCGTCCTGTTCACTGGACAGCAGCTGTGAGGGTGGCGAAGTACCTAGCGACGACATCAGGCGTGGGGCTAGTTCTTGGAGGGCAGCAGGCTGTTGTACTTACTGGTCACTGTGACTCTTCTTACGCTGACGACGCTGAGACTCACAGGTCTACTCAGGGGTACTGTTTCAGTCTGGGTTCTGGAGCTGTTTCCTGGCGGTCCACGCGCTCCTCTTCGGTCTCGACCTCTACAGCTGAGGCTGAGATCTACGCTGGTGCCATGGCGGCACAGGAGTTGCGTTGGTTGACGTTCTTGCTCGCCGACCTGGGTGAGCGGCCGAGCTCTGCACCGACCTTGTTCACTGACAACAAGGCATCGATTCTCCTTTGTCGAGAGCCACGACTGGAGAGCAGAGTGAAGCACATTAACGTCAGGTACTTCCTTCTGCGAGAGTTGCAGAGACGTGGGCAGGCTCGCTTCGAGTTTGTGGAGTCTGAGGCCAACACTGCAGACATCTTCACCAAGGCGCTTCCGCCTTGTGACCACCACAGGTGTTGTGTGCAGTTAGGCCTTGTTGACACTGGTTTTCGGCTTACTTAGTCTTGAGTTCACTGTTTGTTTTGCTTGTACCCTTTCTATATAACTCTGTTATTTCTTGGACTGGCCTTGTGGCCATTGTTGCTTGTGCTCAGAGTGTGTGGTGACGTTGTGATCCACCCTGAGCTTTGTTTCTTTGTGACTGGTCTTATGACCGTACTCTTTTGGTTTTGCTAGACACCCCTCACTTAGGCTATGGGGGTGTGTCAAATGTTGGTAGCCTGTAGTGAGGTTTGTCTTAGGGGGTACGTATGTTAGGGTTTGCTACTTGTACCCCAACCACCATCAATGAACCAACACTTCCGATTCTGACACGTGGTTACAGTAGTTTTGCAATACAGTTAATAAGGGAATGTACCCCTCAGAGTATATGGCTAGCTAGTTTGCTATTTAATCTCTTGTATTCCTATATCTTAATTGTCTTGTTCTCTTTCAACTACTTTCCAACAAGGTCACTACAGAGGCTTTATTGTCTCCTCCTAGACTTGGCAGACTTATCCTATTCACTAGATCCTTTGGATATATCCGCATAAAGCACATAAAGTGTGTTCGCAAGCTCTTCATTTCATAGAAAGCACTATATTTGATGAATGATCAATAGAAATCCTCCTTAATGCAGTATTAACAAGTCGGGTGTCGTACACATCATGGAGCCAGATAGATTTCTTCAACAATGATATGCAAGTCCCAAAAGGTTTGTGTTATGGAGAAGAATGCATGTCAGGCAAACACATATTTGGTTGCAAATATTCACTGTGCTCGGCCATATCGGAACATGCAGCACAAAAAGAAACACGTCGCCTTCCTGGGAATGCGGGCAGACCGACTTTGATTTTCCCGAACACTTTTGTAAATCGTAGCCCTATGAAGAACGTGTCAATCCTTAGTGGTGTGGAAGGGCAGTGAAGAAAACGTTTCGACAGAAAATCCTGCATCCTCGAAGCGGATGGAATAGGCACCCTGCGACACGCGTAGCCCTGGGCAAAATCAACAAAGGTGTACACCCGTGCCAGTATCGGGGGGAGCCCTTGGAAATGTGCACTGCAACGAGATGTTCCGAGTCGCAATGCGCGTCGGGTCGGTAGCGACACGGAGGATGATCCAAGTTCCAACTCGACATTGGGAAAAGCACATCAAGGCGAAATCGCCTCGGGAGAGGGGCATCTGAGCAAGGTATTCCCTTGCACAAGCTGCCACTCCCAAGTACATTCTGTCCTTCACAAGCACGCCCTGGTTGGTAGTAGCGCTTCCGCTCCAGCAAAACAGCAAATTGGGGGCTGTGCAAGCAGAAAAGAGCCCACATTGACTACCTTCCACCAAAACGTCTTTCGATATCGTTAAACTTTCTTGAGAAGACTATCACTCAACCTTCCAGTGCTATCTCTCGCGATCGACTGCCTTGTGCCAGGCGTTAACACTACAGCTTACAGCTTTACTTAAGTTAACCTCTTCTGCAAACACAGCTATCCGCCGCCAACACTCGTTTCCTCCACTTCCGAGCTGTCCGCTTGCCTCGCATCCGGCCTCAGTCTGCCGCCCACCACAATGAGGTCAACGGCGCACGTACTATCCTGTAAGCTACAGAACTATTGAAGCCTGCGATTTAAAACTCTTTTTTCGTGCCGCCCTGCTGCTATTTAAATTCATGCCTTCGCGTTTCGTCGCACGTCGTGAACTCTTCACGTGACTGCTGGTCGTCGCGCGCTGTCGCGCGTCGTTCCGCGATATCACGCTGCGCACCTGCCGGGTCTCGTGCTCCTTGCGGGAGTACTGCATCAATGAAACACGTGCACCTGCTGGTTCTCGTGCTCCTTGCATCAATGAAACACGTGCTCCTTGTGGGAGTACTGCATCAATGAAACACGTGCTCCTTGTGGGACTACTGCATCAATGAAACACGTTCGCATCTATTTCCGCCACCCATGCGCAGGCATGCTCGTGTGCTTCCTCGAGTCGGGGGCGGCGCCAAGGGCGAGCCTGCAATTCCCTGAAATCAACATCACGGCCATCCCATTTTTCTCAACGAGTAGACTCATTCCCGCCCCGCTCCGCCCCGCTCCGCCCCGCCCTGCCCTTCCCTGCATCCACGCGCAGGCGTGCTCGTGTGCTTCCTCGTGTTGGGAGCCGCGCCAAACGCGAACGCGCAGATCTCTGAAGTCAACATCACGGCCATCACGGATTTCCTCAACGAGTTGACTCATTCCCGCCCTGCCCTGCCCTGCCCCCCCCCTCCCGCTTTCCCCTGCGTCCACGCGCAGGCGTGCTCGTGTGCTTCCTCGTGCTGGGAGCCGCGCCGAAGGCGAGCGCGCAGATTCCTGAAGTCAACATCACGGCCATCACGGATCGCTTCAACGAGTTTTCCCCCCCGCCACCCGCCCCGCCCGCCCCCCTTTTGCAACCACGTGCAGGCGTGGTCCTGTGCTTCCTCGCGTTGGGAGCCGCGCCAAGGGCGAGCGCGCAGATCCCTGCGGTCAACATCACGGCCATCACGGATTTCCTCAACGAGTTGACTCATATTCCCGCCCCGCCCCCGCCCCCGCTTCCCCCTGCACCCGTGCGCAGGCGTGCTCGTGTGCTTCCTCGTGCTGGGAGCCGCGCCAAAGGCGAGCGCGCAGATCCCTGAGGTCAACATCACGGCCATCACGGATTTCCTCAACGAGTTCTTCGCCGCCCTCCATAAGGACGTGCAGAGCTCCTTCCCCGGCACCAAGCTGTGTACGATGCCCTTCCTTTATAGTATATTTATCATCACGTTTCTATTATTTCGTCAACGAGTTTTTCGCGGCCCTTAGAACCGACCATGAGAGCTCCATCCCCGGCGTGAAGCTGTGTACGATGCCCTCATGATTCATCCTGGTAGCGCAGTGCATTGAGCCTTTGCCACCAAATGCTTGCTGTTCTAAGTGCTCCTGCCACCGCTTCATTAATGCGCTGCTGCGCGCATCCTTCCCCCCCTCCCCAACAAGAGCCACCCACACCACCACATCTAATGCTTTTCTCTTCCTCGCTGCTTTGCCTTATCATCCCCCCTTCTCTCGTGCTGTTTCGATCTTGGCCTCGACGTGCTCAAGGGCAAGGCGGAGAACACGGGCGACTACAACAATGTGCATGAATTTTGAGAAACCTCAAAAGATTTCCTTTTCATTCCTCTCTCGCGTTCCATCGGTTCCGCTCTCAGACGTGCTCAAGGGCAAGGCGGAGAACACGGGCGACTACAACGATGTTGACGACGATGACGACAGCGATCATGAAGGCAAGCTCGAGATCACCAAGTACACGTAAGTAACCGTTGGGGTGCGGGTTTATAGCTTGTCAATTTTTTAAGTAGACATCAGAAGTGACGACGACAGCGACAAGGAAGGGAAGCTCGAGATCACCAAGTACACGTAAGTAACCGTTGGGGTGCGGGTTTTTTAGCCTGTCGGTTTTTTAGTCGACATCAGACGTGATGACGACGGCGACAAGGAAGGCAAGCTCGAGATCACCAAGTACACGTAAGTAACGGTTGGGATGCGGGTCTTGCGTGTCGATTCTGCGCCTACCGTTTTCTTATATATATAAAAAAGAATTTTGGTTTACTTTGAATTGCTACGTAACGTGACAGTAGGAGGACGGAGGGCTTGTGCCGAGGGCTTAGCAATTTCAATTTGCTCAACGTGTTCATAATGCTTGTTCCTACTCTCAGGTACAACAATATCACTTCTTTCAAGTTCGAGACTCAATCAGACAAGAAGATAAAATCAGTGACAATTCGCAAGGGCCTGCCAACGACGTTCGGTAAAGTTGTGCTGGTGGTTCCCGGCACTCCTGCGAAGGATGACGAGGAATACACCATGACGTCATGGATCGTTAACGCGTCCTACGTGGCAGCGTACAACGGCATGAGCGTTACCAGTGTCATTGATGACATCTACGCGTCACCGTACGCGTATTATCTGAACATGACAACGAGCAAGGGGTGGCGGCGTGGGCAAATGTACAAGCCGTTGTTCTGCTTCTGGTGTGACTACTAATCCTGATCCTGCCGCTGGTGACTGCGTCACTACTGGCCCACCACGAGGGTGCATGTACCTAGGCCATAGCTTGTAAGGGTCCCTGGGTGGTTTCCACCATTAGTAATGCTGTTGTTTCTCGTTTCTTTTAGTTTTTAGGAAAATGAGGCGGGGAATGCATCTAGTAGGCTCACTTTTCTAATGAGGGGTTGTAATCATCTTCTAATCAGCGTAGTTGTAACATCCTGGTGTGCAGTTTAATTAGAATTTTGGTGCATTTGTACTGCTTGGAGCTCTACTGATGGTGTTTTAGAGATGTTCAAATACCGTAATCACCCGGACATAACACCCGGGGGTATTATGATAACCACAGGGAAAAATTGGGGGGGGTGCTCTCAACGGAAAATCCTACCGTAAACTCCCGGATATAACACAGTGTTGAATAGTAGACAGGGGTTGTCTACTATACGGGTGTCTCTTATAAACAGGCTAGCCTCATTATAAGACACCTATTTGTGTGTACGAGATAAGACATATATGTCTTATAATCGAAACTTCAATATATTATAGCGAAAGTTGAAATAACGCGTACATTTTTACCCTTGCGAAGCGCGAATTTCTCCACGTCCTGACCCAGGACCTACCAAATTTGCCTCTGCAGGTGTTCTCCATGACGTGGCGTCCCGGGCAGTGGTTGCCGAAGTGGCACCTTCGCAACATCCACACTCATTATGAGGAACTCTTTTTCAAGGAGTACGGAAAATATTTATAAGTAGTTTAAAAAGTTTCCATTTATAAGATTTATAAGACACCCTAAAGCATCCCGTTTACAAGATAACTCAAGCATTTTTTCCCGTGTACGAGATAAGACATATATGTCTTATATCCGGGCGATGACGGTATATAATACCCGGGTGGTTATATATGGCACTTTTTAGTGTAAGAAAAAAGTTTAATTAGACAATTTGGGTGTTTCAATAGTCGTTTTAACATCACATGTTGAGGCGAGAATTCGCGTTTTGGCGAGAACCTCTCGGGCCACGTGCAGCGGAAGATTCGCCAGCGTGGCGACAGCGAAATTGTGGAAGGGAGGGAATCTCGGTAGATTCGAAGTGAAAGTGCACGCGAAATTTCATTCAGGAAGCGATATTCCCGTAAAAAATCTGACTCGATAACAGCTATAATAGGGTTTCGTAAGAAAAGGGGGGTGTTATAGAGAATCATCCCAAAAAGGGGGGTATAGTACAAACGAGGTCGGCTATAGCACCCCCCCCGCACAAGCTACCCGGGGGTGTACTATTACGGGGGGGTGTTTTGTCCGGGTGATTACGGTACCGGCCCAAAACGTTCCATGCCTAGTTTGTACACATAGAAGATAGGCAAAGGGGAGTGTGAACCTGCATAACCTGGCTTGGGGTGGCGTGGAGAGAATAATTGTGTTGAGGGAATACGGTAATTGTGTTGAGAGAATGCTTGTGTTGGGAGTAGGACTTTGGGAGGGAATCACGGAAACTTGTGTTGGGAGGGGAATCACGGAAATTGTGTTGGGAGGGGGGCGGGCGATGAAATGATCAGAGAAATTTGGGCCTTGAGTGGGTGGTAGGTAGGTAGGAGGCACGGGGGTTTTGGGCTGCGATGAGCCAAGCCAAGGGGAATATTTGGATCAGGGAGAAGCTGCTAGAGGCAATGAGTGGAGAGAGGTGAGGTGAGGGGGGGCAATGCATACAACAATACCGTACCACAAAGAACGGATGAGTAAGTATGGCATAATTGGGCGCAATACCCGAATAACATACATGACAGTCGCACGGAAGCAGTTAATGTTTTTTTCCGCATGATGAGCATGATCAGATGGTTGATGGAGAGAGAACAATTTATATAAGGGTGCGTTCCTGGCGCGTGTCAAGCTTCCGGTCATCCGCGGATGACCGGAAGTTAGACCCACTTTGGGTCATCCGAGACCAACTTCGGGTCTTCCGGCCAAAAATTGCCCCTGTTTCCGGAAAACACAAGGTTTGACAGGAACTTTAACCCAAAGCTTCGGGTCTTCCCGGGAAGGCCCGAAGCTTGACACCAGCCAGGAACGCACCCTAATTCTTGTGCTATCCGTCTCCATGTGGTGACTGCCGCATTTATTATCGGAACTTGGTAAGTCGAACCTTTGCACTTGCTCCTGGCTGCTCATCTGACACGCTCTGCAGCCAGCACTCTGGCACGCTTGAAGGACGTCAGTCGTGTGGTTGAAACGCTGTGCTGGATCTGGTTTGGTGTGGAAGCCAATTGGAAACGATTGCACTTGGTCGAGCCGCGCTGCACTCGATATTTGCATTCGAATCTAGATGCGTTGTATTCGAACTCCAACACTTTCTCCCGCCTCTCGCCGACGCTTTGCTGCTCGGATGGCGCACTCTGATTGCTGCCATTCCCGATTCGGGAATCCCGTCACCCGAATCAACCCCTCTAGACTGTACATCCAAACAGAAATCTGGTTTACGCCTCCCGCAATGAAACCATTTGCTGCTGCCCGCCTAGCTATGATTGGCGGTTTCACTGTAAAAAGCATTGAAGGCGAAGTTGATAGGTTACAAGGCTTTCACGAAACTTGTTGCAGCAGGAGCGATTCGTTAGACCCCATTGCCAATTGCCCGAATTTGGACCTTGGAAAATCAAGTTCGGACAACCTAGCAGGGCTGTGCTTGCGCTGCACCCACCAAACAGAATTTCCTTCTCCAGCCCCTTTTCCGGGGAAAGTTTCCCAGACTGCTCTGAAGTTTGAGGCACTATCCTGCCCTTCGGTCAAAGTATGTGTGTCTGCCAAGTGCACCTTTTTCCACGAGGGATGAGCGGGCTTATTTTGACTGGATGGCTTTCGTAGTTTTATGCCCGGAGCCACCCCGAACTTGCGTAACTCCGAGGCGTTTCGCCCAGGCGATTTAGGCGGCTGAGTGAGTGTGAAGAGTCGCAGCAAACACCCTGTAGTGTAGATCTGAAACCTGGGAAGAGACCTCATCACATAATAATTCCTCAAACCCGACCCTCAACGGGTACCGCGCACCCCAAACACTGAAATGAAGAGCGGCCCAAAATGAAAAGAGGGCTGGGTGACGGGGACTGGAGTCCGGCTTGACGGAAGGCAGGAATGCTCTCCTCCACATCAGGAAAACCCACGATGGGGGAGGGCCGTGCTCGCAAGCCGCCTCCCGCACAGCGGTATCCATTATTCTTTGTATCGGGTCACTTAGCTGCAGCGCTGAACGGCCGACAAGCTGCTCGCATCCATCCATACCCAAGTCAACACCCCTCAAGCAGTCCCTCGTGCCCTACTCTGCAGCAGATGAGCTGAATCCTGACAGATCCCCAGAACATCTTTTGCGGCGGACCAAGGAAGGTCAAGCGGCTCGCGGATTGGAGGGAGAGATGGATGGCGGACGTGAAGACGAATAGGTGAAGGCGCCGACTGGAAGAGAGCGGATGCAGGGACGGATGGGGATTGGGTGAGCGGGAAGGGGGGTGTTTTCACGCGACGCGCAAGAGCAACTGCGCTGGTGGCGGGTCTAGTCGATTGGATGACGCAGCACGATAGTTTCTGGAAACACATATGAGCTGCTCTTTTACCCATAAAACTTCCACTTCAAACCCTCGTCGGTACACGCCATCGAGGTGTCTCGTGGCTTGTTCCCTCCCGCCTCAGCAGGGTGTTCCGTAACCCTAGCTTTCTCTCTTCACCTCGTCTCTTCCACCCATTTGGGAATCGGGAGTCAGAGTTTACTTCGTGTCGTCTCGTAGCTTTCCTCAGGAAAGGGAGCTTAGCTTTCCGCCGTCCCGCCGCAGCCGCAGCGTTCGCCGCCATGGGTGCGGGAGAGGAAAGCGAGTATAAGGTGAACGTGCCGGCTCTCTCAATCAAAGATGAGGTGGTCGAGACGGTGCAACCCTTCCGCCAGCTGCTCGTAATCGAGGAGGACCCTTTCCGGGACTACCGCGACAAGAGCGCGGGCGAGCGCGCTAAGTTGGCTCTGTTCTACGTCTTCCCGATCCTCGAGTGGGCCTCCAAGTATAACTTCAAGGCGCAGTTCTTTGGCGACGTCGTCGCCGGTCTGACCATCGCCAGTCTCGCCGTTCCTCAGGTAATCCCCGTGCCCGTTACTCGCCGCGCTTCGCACTCGCGGGCGGCGACGAGCGTGCATTGGTCGGACTGAAGCGACAATGCCTTTGGGGTTAGGCCCCGTGTTCCATTAGGGTTAGGCCCCGTTTCCGTGTCTCCTCAATCTGTTAAATTTTCACCTCGTCCCG